TTTTCCTAAGATAAATTTCTCTCTCTTTATATATATATAAATATATATATATGAGCTTTACTGGTTTTGTTTCTCTAGAGAACCCAGTCTGAACCCAGTCTAACACAGTTACAGATAAAGGGTAAACTTAAAAAAGCCAGATTAAAACTGACCAATGGCTTTCAGAAGACACGGGACAAAAAGACACATCTCAAAATGCAACCAATAAAGTTTTGGGGAAATTTCACCCTAATTAGTAATCAAAGATACGTAAATCAAAATAAGTGATCAAGTATTGCTTCCTTTTTAGCATTTCAGTTTACTGAGAACTTTTCTCTTTTTTTCAGTGTCTAATACTGGAGATAATAACAGTAACATTTTAAATTTTGCTGAAGGCAATATAAATTTCTTTTGTGTGTGTGATTTGGGTGAAAGTTTACAGAGCAAATTCACTTTCCATACAGCAGCTCACATATACTTTGTCTCATGACATTGACTACAATTTCCCTCAGTGCAACAGCTCCCTTCCCACTTCTTCCCTGAAGGCTATATAAATTTTTGAAACTATTTTGGAAAGTAGTTTGTCAGCATCTACTAAAAGCTTTTAAAAAAATGTTTATCTCCTTTGACTGAGTAATTTCACTCCTGTGAAATCTGTTTGAATAAAATGAACCTAAACATGGAGAATGTTCACAAAGATGTTCATTATGGCTACAGGTAGGGGATAAAAGAGGAAAGTAATGAAAATAGTGCAAGGGCTTTAATGAATGTGTACTCTAGAGTGAGCATGAGATGGGAAACTTGATTGTGCTTTTCCCTCAGTTGGTCTCACTTCCTGTGTGTGTCTTACAGTGTGAGCATCTCACAGGGATTCAGGTGTTAAAGATGAGTCTTCAAGCGTTGGCTCCAAATGTCTGCCAGCCTCATCTGGTATCTCATTTAGTGCTCAACCTAGCAAATAGCCATCACTTTTCTTCCAGGGCTTCAAACCAGTTTGAACGGGTTCAGTTATGGCCAATGCATCAAAATAGGAATGGACTGCAATTTGTTAAATGTGAGTGTGTCATAACAGTAACCAGAATGGGAAAAATTATGGGTCAAAGCTTGGAACGGGAAACTCGGAAGAGGCAAGCCCTTTCAGGAGCCTGATGTGGAAGGCTGGATTATTGGCAGCACTGTAGAGTGTGACACATTCAAAGTTGCATGGTCGCTGCCGTCTTTGAGCAAAGCAACGCTATTTCCAACTCTTGTCAGTCAGGATATATGGTTGCTATGCAACATACATACTGCCCTTGTTGTCTAAGAGAGAGATTCAGTTTCTAATTGGTCATCAACCTGCTATCTTTCCCATTTCGTATTGTTCTAGTTCACCCACATTTTACAAATTCGGGTCTACCTGGTTTCACTTTGTCAGCCATGAATGAACTGGGAAGAACTATGTCATTTTCTTCCTCTCTCTTTAGGAAGTTTCTGTAGTATTCTGTGTTTGAGATATTCCACAATTAAATACTTTGTCTACATATTCTCTTTATATACTGTATTTACTATAATGATTTATAAATTTTTCTACAGAGAATTATGTACTCATGTATATGGGATTTTTGCCCAATGCCTATTATGATACAAGGAGCTCTGGTGGTGTAGTGGGTAAGGCATTTGGCTGCTAACCAGAAGGTCAGCGGTTCAAACCCACCAGCTGCTTCATGGGAGGAAGATGAGATAATCTACTTCCATAAAGATTTACAGCCTTGGAAACCTAAGGAAGGTCACTGTGATTTGGAATTGAGTAGATGGCAGTGGGTGGGGTATTAGGATACAGTTTTCTTACATGTCCACTTAGTAGAATAATTCCACTGCTACCATTGCCATCAAGTTGCTTCTACTCACAGTGACCTTGTAGGACAGAGTAGAACTGCCCCTTAGTATTTCCAAAGCTATAATCTTTATGGACATCTTTCTGGTATTGATGTTTACTTATGTTTTATTGACTATGTAAAAGCATTTGATTGTGTGGATCAAACAAATTATATGGAAAACATTAAGAAGAATGGGAATTCCAGAACACTTGATTGTAGTCATGAGGAACCTGTATGTAGATCAGGAGACTGTCATTTGAACAAAACAAGGGGATACTGCATGGTTCAAAATCAGGAAGGGAGTGTGTCAGGGTTGTATCCTTTCACCATACTTATTCAACTTGTATGCTTAGCAAATAATCCAAGAAGCTGGACTATATGAAGAAGAATGTGGCATCAGGATTGGAGGAAGACTCATTAACAACCTGTGATATGCAGATGACACAACTTTGTTTGCTGAAAATGAGGTGAGGATGGCTTGAAGGACTTACTGATGAAGATTAAAGACTACAGTCTGCAGTATGGATTACACCTCAATATAAACAAAACAAAAAGTCCTCACAACTGGTCTGATAAACAGCTTCACAATAAATGGAAAAAAGATTGAAGTTGTCAAGGACTTCATGTTACTTGATTCTACAATCAACACCAATGGAAGCAGCAGTCAAGACATCAGATAACATATTGCACTGGGCAGATTGGCTGCAAAAGACCTTTTTCAAGTGATGAAGAGCAAAGATGTCTCCTGAAGATTAAGGTGCACCTAACTCAAGCCATCGTATTTTAAATCACCTCATATGCATGTGAGAGCTGGACAATGAATAAGGAAGACTGAAGAAGAGTTGATGCTTTTGAGTTGTGGTGTTGGAGAAGAATGCTAAGAGTACTATGGTTTGCTAAAAGGACTAACAAATTTGTCCTGGAAGAAGTGCAGCCAGAATGTTCCTTGGAAGCAAGAATGGCCAGACTTCATCTCACCTACTTTGGTCATGTTGTCAGAAGGAACCATTCCCTGGAGAAGGATGTCATGCTTGGTAAAGTAGAGGGTCAACAAAGAAGGGGAAGGCCCTCAGTGAGATGGATTGACACAGTGGCTGCAATGATGGGCTCAGGTATAGCAGGGATCGTGAGGCTGGCACAGGACTGGGCAGTGTTTCATTCTGCTGTGCACAGGGTCACTGTGAGTCAGAGACAACTCAATGGCACATAACAACAACAACAATCTTTATGGTAGCAGACCACCACATCTTTCTCCTGCAGAGCAGCTGGTAGGTTTAAACCTCCAGCCTTTTGGTTAGCAGCCTGGTGCTTAACCACTGTACCTCCAGGGCTCCATTTAATAAAATACTCTATGGCTGTCCAGAATAATGCAATGAAGATAAGAAGCAGAAGTGTTATGGCTATAGAATTCAATAAAAAAAACATGAGATACAAATTTATAATAATTGTAACTATATAGAAAAATGCATAGACGCAAAAAGACAGGAAGGAAGGAGGATTAGCTTTCAATGGCCATTTACAGATTGTTTGATACCTTTGTTAACCTAGGTATCAAGGTATATAAAATTGAGCAAGGACTTAATGCTATATATATATAATCCCCATTTCTGCACACATCTGCCCATTGGTGATTGTCTGTCCTCCCCACATGATGACTTTGTTGCCCACTGTGATAGTTAAGGTTATGTGTCAACTTAGCTAGGCCTGGTTTTGAGTGGCTGGGCAGCTGGATGTAGTAATTCCCCATGGTGAGATTGGTAAGCAACTCCATGGTGGAATCTACTAGATAAGCTGAGTAGCTGCCTTAGGGATGTGATCTGCTTCCAGTATATAAGAAGCAGCTTTGAGAAAGGTCTCGGCAGCTTTTTTGCATGCTTGGACCCTGCATGTAGCCGAGTCTCCAGTCAGCAGCCTGCCATGTTTCCTGCCAATCTTGGGACGGTCTCTGGACTTGAACAAGCAGTCTGCCATGTACAGTAATATTGGGACTGTGCTATTTTGTTTGTCAACCTTGGGCTTGTTAGCCTCAGCAGCCAGCAGCTGCCTGAGTGAAGAGATATACCTAGCTACAGTGGGCCAGGAGCAAGAGGCAGATCTGAAGCCCAAGGTCAAGGGGCTTTCATCTAGCTTCTAGAGCTGGCACTTTGAACTCAGACTTCTATCTCCAGAACTAGAACTAGTAAGAGAATAAACTCTTGTCTGTTTAAGCCACCCATTTGTGGTATTTTCTGTTAGAGCAGCATGAAGTAACCGAAACACCCACAGAATTCTCTGACCATCCTGATTGAACTTAAGGGTGAGGAAACCTAGTTTAGTATTATTACCCACTTCAGTATTATTACCAGAATTGCCACATTTGGGTTAGTCTGTCATCATATTGATATCCATAAGGTTTTCATTGGCTAATTTTTAGAAGTAGATTCACTGAAACCTGTCCACCATGGGTGACCCTGCTGGTATTTGAAATAATGGTGGCATAGCTTCCAGCATCATAGCCACACATAAGCCACCACAATGTGACCAATTGACTGACAGGTGGATAGTGTTACCAGTGATCATGAAGATGGCACAGGATGGGTGGCATTTCACCCTGTCATAATAAGGTCACCATGAGTCGGAGTCGACTCTATGGTGACAACGATAACAACATTGCACTATAGGAGGCAGGAGGCTGTTACTGGTAATGCTTCCCATGAAAACTCTTTGAGCCAAGAGAATTCCCTTTCAAGAGAGAAGAACTTCAGGCTTGGACAGGAGAAGAAATAAAATTCATTACCCTGTTAGTGTTCTCATAGCTAATCAGAGTCTGGCTAGCAAATTCCTGAGATTTGCTAAAGGAAATGTTTAAGCAGCACAGAGTGAAGAGTCATGGACCAAGTCACACAGCCCAGTCTGGAAAGCTAAGCTTGAGTGTCTGCTTCACTGCCTGCCAGAGATGAGGTTTGGGGTGGTCACCCAAGGAAGTGGGGTACACTTCAAGGAACGTGAAAGCACCACCTGGCACTGGTGCTCTTTGTTTCAGGAGATGGGACACATATGGTGGCATATTAACATCTTGAACATAATTTTCAAGAATGGAGGGAAACTTTGACTGGTTCCATGAGGTAATGAAACACGAGTAAGTCCTTAGTACTTTGCTGGACTGAACTTGCTGCCTCCCCACAGGTGATCCCGCCCTGAGCATGAGTCACTGGATGTTCCATCAGCAGGCCCTGCAGGAATACATTCTCATGTGCTGTCAGTGCCCCACTGGGGGGCTTCTGGATAAACCTGGCAAGTGAGTGCCTTCTCTCTGTGGAGGGAGAGAGGGAGGGACAGGGAGTGGAGAGAGGCTGTACGTGCCCCTCGGTGGAAGCGTGTGCCAAAGCCCTTAAAGGAAAGGCCTCAGTGCCCCTTCCACCCTCGCAGCCCTTCCAGCTGCCTGGCACTAGTGTTGCATGGGCGGGGGCACCCCAGTTGGGAGTGTCCCCTGTGAATGCTATGCTCCTGGCACCTCCAGTTGCCTACCCCTTCCCCTTTACCTGCACCTCTTCTCTTCAGGTAACTAAACAGAAGATACCTGACTTGTTAACTTTTCTTCCTCTTTTTTTTTTTTTTTTTAACCGATTTAAATAGAACAAGATACAGGATGTTCAAAACCCCTGAGTGTTATAAACAGAGGTGGTAATCACAGCAGCTATTACAGAGTCGATTAAATGACTGAAATAAAATCTGAGGTGCCTGTAGGAAGAAAGGGAAAGCAAATAAGCCCTGCCTCCTGTGTGTCCCCTCTGCTTCCCCACATCCTCCTGCTCTGGGCATCCAGGGGAAAGTCCTGCTGAAGGCCAGTCCCCAGCAGTTTATCAGGAAGAATTTGGCCCATTTCTAGACTTTGGTCCATTTTTTTTTCCCTAGAGAAATAATGTAGCCCTGGCCCGGGAGAGCTGTGACTCTCAGCCTTTTCCAAAAGACAGCTGAAGAGACCAATTCTAAACTTAGAGTTCCCATTTCTGGGCAGGGCTGAGGGATTGGTACAGAAACAACCACCACAACTGCTGGGAAACCTGTCTCCTGTAGCCGTGGGGGGACAAAGGTGGGATGTGTGAGCATCGTAGCCTGAATGCGTGTGGCTGCACCAGTGTTTGAGGCTGTGCTCGAGACTTGGGAGCTGAGGGCTTCTGTTCAGAGCCACCCTGTCCTTGCAGGTCACGTGACTTCTACCACACCTGCTACTGCTTGAGCGGTTTGTCCATAGCTCAGCACTTCGGAAGTGGAGCCATGCTGCATGATGTGGTCCTGGGTATGCCTGAGAACTCTCTGGTAAGGCGGGATTGGGGGCTCAACACCCCTCCTTCACAGGGCCCCAACACTAGGGGCTTACCGAGAAGGCAGCACAGCTACCATTAGTCTGTGGAACTAGCTGTGTGTTTCCTATGTGGACAGGCTGGTCAGCTCACCATCCACACCCTCCTCCCATTTTTGCAGCCTACTCACGAGGATAAGGATGAAACTTTCTCCCCATTTTTTGACTGTGGAGAAGGCACCCCTCAAGACCAACCCAAGGTTCTGGGTATTGGTAAGAGAGCCTTTGTGCCTTTATTCTAGAGTCTAAGACCTACCCAGCATGAGGGTCCCCTCTTCTGAGGAAGCCATAGGCATTGATCACTCAGAGGCAGTGAGTCCCTGCAGGTGTGCAGCGGCGTCTGCGGCCACACAGCACCGTGTGGCTGTCTGCTTCTCTCTGTGAGGTCTCTGCTTGTAGCCGTCTCTTCAGAGAAGCTGTGCCAGACACCTTCCGTAGCATCGTTGCCCTTGGCGTCCTGCCCACAGAGCCTCATTTGCCCCCTTCCCAGCAGCTATAATGTATTCATTCAACTTGTTCATTGTCTGCCTCCTTCAGAAATACTGGCTCCCTGAAAGCAGAATGTTCACACTGCATCTGGTTCTAGAACAGTCTGGCATGTAGGAAATGCTCCATTTATGTTTATTGGGCCTAAGACATGAGCTCAAATAAGAACTTGCACAGTGATCAAATGATGGGGCCTGTGCCAGTTAAGAACCAAACCAAAACCAAACTCACCATTGAGTCAATTCTGACTCATAGTGACCCCCATTGCGTTTCTAAGGCTATAAATCTTTACGGAAGTAGATTGCCCTATCTTCCTTCCATGGAGTGGACTGGTGGATTTGAACCACTGACCTTCGAGTTAGCAAATGCTTTATCCACTACACCACCAGAGATCCTTAATTATCATGAACAGTCGTGTGTAATTTTAGGATAATACGGCCTCATAAAATTAGATGTGTAGCTTCCTCCCCCTGCTTTTTTTAAGTCTCTGAAAATGTTTGTATAGGTTAGAGGTGTTTCTTGTAGGTTTGTTAACATTTGCCTGAAAAACCATGGAGGCCTGGTATCTTTGGGTTGGGGAACGGGGATGAAATGGTGATGGCAGCATAAGCAATGATTGATTTAATTTATTCATACAGGTTTTAAAAACTTCCTTCTTGAATCAATTTTGACCATTATATTCTATAAAATTACTCAGTTTATTGAATTTTCATCTTTTACCATCAAGTTCCTCATAGCCTTCTCTTAAAATTTTATAAATGTCTCCTGTAATTATGTCTTCTCCTTCATTCTCCCAGAGTGGGATAGTGCTGAATCCTGGCCTGGGATTATGCCCTGTCTCAGACCTAAAGTTTGTTTTGAGTTTCTGTGATGACATGTAATAAAGCAATTGAAACATGGCCTGACACCCTTACTGCACAGTAAGGTTATAGTCCTTTTTCTTGATTATTATTGTAAATACATCTCATTGTTTTAATAATTGGAATACACCTACACACACACAAGTATAAATAAGAAAATTGAAAACAATCACACAATATTATTGTTTTGGTATATCTCTGTTCATATACATCACATATACTATATGACTAGTAGCCACCATAAGGCTAATTTCCAAACTGAAGATATTTATATCCCCACTTTCCCACTTCATGGTCCTGGCACCAGCTACCCATGTGGCACTCTCTCTCTCTCTCTCTCTCTCTGACCCTAACCACCCAGAGTTGAGTCTCCACAACTTAGGACTGTCCCTCCAGATCCTGCTAAATAGGAAAACATCAGCTTCTCTGCTGGTTCTCACTGCCCTGATGGGTTCTGATTTGCGAGAATGACTTGCACAGTTTACAGAGACTGCCTATACTTAGAGTTACCCATTTATTATAACCAGAAAGAATGCAAGTATAGAGATGCATCATTCAAGGTCTGGGAGAGGTCCTGGCACTAGTAGGCTTCCATTGTTCCTGGGGACGGGCCACACTCTCTCCTGTATGTACATGTTCTCACTAATCAAGGAGGCCCCAAAAGAGAGTTCTCCCAGGTTCCGGATCTCCCTAGTCATTGGGGCCTCAATGAATATGCATAACTTGGGCCTTAATGCATAGTTGTTACCAATCCAGTCAGTGAATATGCATGACTGAAGTTAGTTTGCCAGGTATGGCCCTATGTAGCCACTACTTGCCCAGCTATTTTGGAAGACAAATGCCTATCTTGATTGCTCAGGTTATTTTCAGAAACCAGAATCCAAGAGCCAAACCACGTTCTTTGCCCAGATATATAAATGTATTTTTTAAAAGTAAGTGTGTGGTAATATTATACATACCGTTTTTCTCAATATGTTATAAATACCTGCCTGTATCATTGAATGTTTGAAGGCATGCTTTTAAATGGCTGTGTATTACTTGTTCCATGTAATACAGTATGTTTTTAGCAAATGCCTGTAGATCTGACCTAGGCTGTTGAACATGAGCCTGGCATGGTAAATCTCTACATATATCCTGAGGGTTCTGTGTAGTAAATTGCTAGAAGTAGGCTTATAGGTTCAAGGAGGTGAACATTTCCAGGGACCACCAGGGTGATTAACTGGCATCTGTCCTTCTCCTTGCAGCAGCCCACTCACCCTGTGTACAACATTGGACCCGATAAGGTGATCCAGGCCACCATGCACTTTCTGCAAAAGCCAGTCCCCAACTTCGAAGAGCAGGAAGACGAGGCAACAGCAGAGCCTGCCACCAACTAGAGGACATGGAGTCCCCTGGCTCTGTGTTCACCCATCGCTCCAGTCAGACCAAGGTGGATCCGTTCTGATACATAGTGCATTCTGTACTATACAAGCCTTAGCCACTCTGGAGGTGTGGCTCTCTTTTTTCCTTTCTTGTCAAACAAAACAAAACCATTGGCTCTGGGTTTGGAGAACACAGTGGTGTGGTTTCTTAATTCTTTCCACACCTGTTAAACCAAAAATCTATCAGCTCGTGTGACATCTAAACCCAGTTCTGGCCTGGCCAGGGTCTGGTTGGGGAACAGTGCATGCCGAGAGGACGCAGCAGCTCCTGCCAGCTCTCCGGGCTGGACACTCATATTGGAAGGAATGATGTCTGTGAGTGTTACAGCAGTCAGAGCCACCGCTGCGATTTCCACCTGCTCACCACCAGTAAAGCACCTGGCCAGGTGTCCTCCCAGGGGTTGGAAATTCATGTGCTTCAGGAAAAACAAAAGAAAACCCTAGTGGGATTCCACTAGGAGGTATCCAGGCCTCTCTGCACTTCTTTGTTACTTCTCACCTCCCACCCTGGTCATTTGCAAGGGAAAGGAGCTGGGGGAGAAAGAGCTGCATGAACAGCACCAAGAATGGAGCCCTGCATGTCTCCAAAGCTGCACAGGGTACACTGGCAAGATTCACTTCAGCCCCAGGTGTGGTGAATTACACCTGGGAAACCAATTATGAGTCGAAATGGAACCTCTACTGCAGCTGTGTGCAAGAGCAAGCAGCTCCCTGGCCCACCCCCAACCCACCTTATCATGGTCCATGAAAACCCCTCTGATGTCCTCAAGGCAGCACCTGCAGACTGTGGCCCTCCTGTTTGTTTCCATCTTTCTTCCACCAGACCCCCAGACCACCCTACTCAAAGACAGTGTTATCTTCTCTCACCCAAAGTATTAACACTACTAAGTCTTTCACCTTAATTTCTGACTCAGGATTTATTCACATCCTGCCCACTATTGGCTCACGGAAATGAAATCCAGAGCTAAATAAGCCAGCTGTGCTGCTGAGGCCTCGTAGTACTGCTAGTGGGAGTGTGTGCCACGTGGCCTGTTTACTCCCGGCAATGCCTCTGCTGCCTGCCCACACTGAGCCCCTTCTTGGTCAGTGGGGTGTTGAGTCGGGTCATCTTGTTCACTGCTGTGGCCACAGCAAGCTCCACGTCACTGGCTTTCCTGTGAGCCGGCGTGGGCTGCAGGGGAACAGGAGCATGGAGATACAGCATGATGCTCTTCTCAGAAACTCTGCCCATTTGCTGCCTCTAATTCCCTATTGCTTTGGCGTATTGGGCTATGTATTACCTCCTTGAAATAATAAAAGAGTAACATTTTCTATGACGTCTCTTGTTTGTGATCTGTACCAAGAAAATACCTTCAGGATGCCTAATGTTAGAAGGTATTGAAGGTTCCTCACTGATTGTTGATCTCCTCCTGCATGCAAGATTCCAGACCAGCCCTTCTGGTAATTACAGAGAGGTCTGACTTGATCTCTTCACTCCAGTTGAAGACACAGTGGGCCTGAAAAGAAGTGGGAATGCTCTTTTCCCACTCCCTGTAGCAGTTCCATTTACTTTTGTCCTCGCACGCCACACACTGTGTATTATGGGCTGGCTCTGTGTCTGTCTCCCCTGGAACAGGGACTGTGCTCTGTAGCCCCAAAACAGGCATTCTGCACCTGACCTATAGATGGACGGACGGATGGATGGATGGACGGATGGAGGGATGTCTTAGAGGCGGGGGAGCTGTCCGAGGGACAGACTGGAATCCCGTGGTCACCTGGCTTTCCTTCTTATTGGGCCTGACCCTCTCTCAAGGTTGGCCCAGAAGGTGGGTACTCTGGCCTGACCCTCCTGGTTGGGAGAGAAGGTGGTGTCCTCAGAGGTAGGACATAAACCAAATCTAAATCCTGCAATGTAATTCCTGCCTCCTGTGCTATTTTTACCCTGCTAACAAAGGTTCGTGCTACAAAACAACACATTGAAATACATCCTTCTCATATCTGTAACAAAAGACAAAACCCTCTAAGAACACCAGAAGCCCCACAGAAGGTACTGTGAGATTAATTGCAGTAATAATTACTGTGATTAAGAGACAGAAGAGACTCTTCAGTCTGAGCTAGCTTTGTACCATGCAGGGGGCGTTTGAGCTGGGCATTAAAGGGTAGGTAAGATTTATACTGGCATATCTATAAGATTCCCTTTCCACTCCCAGTTGAGTCTGGAGGATTTTCCAGTAAATTCTCCGAAGAGGTTTGCCATGTAGCTCCTTAAATAGGAGACATAGCATGCAAGATGGGTTACTCCAAACAAGTATTTTCCCCCATCAATAAAGAAATACAAAACTATAACAGATCTCTACATCCAGATGGTCCTGACTTCCCTCTTAGAGCCCACCTCGGACTTCCTTGAGTGCTGAGTAAGGTGGGAAGCCTGCCAGATCCCACTGGGAGCAGAAAGAGCCTCATGGATAGGCTGGTGTCAACTCTGAGATGATCATACCTGTAAATAAGATTCCTAAACTGCTTGCTCTTTAAGGCATCACTTCTGTGTTAGAAGCCACATATGTGTTAGATTCTGGCCAGCAGCTCCATGATAGGGCCCAACACAGAAAACGATGGCCTTTCCCCTTTGTTGCTCTGCCTTTCACTTGCTGCTTGTTGGTGGTCTTGGGAATAACTACCTGACCTGTCTTAACATATAGGGAGGAGAACTGTATGATTTAAGACGTGATTGCAACTGACAGAAAACCTGACTCAGACTGGCTTAAAGCCAAGAGGAAATATGTTGACTCAGAAACTGAGAAGTCCAGGAATGTGGTTGGCCACATGAGTAGCTTCAGTGGGTTTTTCTCCTCTCTCCATCTCTCCCCAGTGCTTCCTCTACATTATCCCCAACCTCAGGGTCTCTCTGTGTGATTTCAAAATGGCAACAGCAGTCACTCCAGACCTTACATCCTCTGGGGTTCAAGTTCAGCAGAAAAGAGCACCTGGCCCTGGTCACTCTTCCTTCCTGATGAGAATCATTGCATTTCATTGGCTTAGATCAAGTCCACTGAGGAGAAGCAATCCCAGTAGCCAAAAGAATACAGTGTACTGATTGGCTTAAATCTTGGTCACATACTCTTACCTGCAGTGGGAAATGGGGCTCTACCAGAAGCACATAGTGTAAGAATGGAGGAGGAATGAAGCCCCAGGTGAAAAATTAGAGCTATAGCCAAAGGGGAAAATGGATGCTAGAGAGACCAGTCGCCAGTGTTCTCTACAACTGTGGGTTATTGCTGGGATGGAAACCGGTAGTGGAAGCTGTTGGCTTCCTACTGCCCTCGCATCCCCTAGTTCGCCAGTTGTGGCAGCCAGAAAGTTGGGATGGGCTTGACCTCCTTCTTACCCCTAGGGCTAGGCCCTGATAAACCTAAACCAGTCATTTTAATCTGTCCTTAATCTGTTCAGGTTTGGTAGTAACCCAGGCCTAAACCAAGACTTATCCTATTGACAATGATTCAGCCCACACCCCCACAGCCATCGAGTCTGGTAACCTTGAATAGTCCAGAGAGAGTGAAGCCCTGGACATTTGATGGTATAGGGAAAGCAGCTCTCCCTATTTAGGGGTAGTGTAATGTGTAGGAGCTGTGGTAGCATAGTGCCTAAGGCACTTACTTGACTGCTAACCAGAAGGCTGGCAGTTCAAACCCACCAGCCACTCCTCGGAAGGAAGGTTGGGCAATCTACTTCCATAGTGATACCGCCTCAGAAACCCAAGGAGGGGTTGCTATGAGTCGGGTCCGACTTGACGGCAAATAACAGCAACAATGTGTGGCCTGGGGCTTCTACAGTCATTTTCCTACCCAGGAGGAAGCCAGCCTGAGAAGCCAGCACACAAAAAGACTACTTGAGAACGTGGCCAGGACCTGATCACACCACTCTTATGGCCCCTCTGCCTCTGGATTTTTCAGTTATACAAGCCAATTCGAATTAGATTTACTACTGCTTAAAAACAAGAAAAGGAGGAGCTCTGATGGTGCAGGGGTTAAAGCATTTGGCTGCTAACCTAAAGGTCAGTGGTTCAAACCCACAGCTGCTCTTTGGGAGAAAGATGAAGCAGTCTGCTTTCATAAAGATTTACAGCCTAGGAAACCCTATGTGGTAGTTCTACTCTGTTCTATTGGGTCTGTGTGTGTCAGAATCAACTCGATGACAGTGGGTTGGGTTTGGTTGATAGCCAAAATCATCCTAATATAAGATGTTTTCCCAGATTCCCCCAAGGCTAAGATCCTTACCTGCTACCTAAAGAACTCTGGCCATTTTTTTTTTTTTTTTTTTTAATAATTGTGATTTGGGTGAAAGTTTACAGAACATACTGGTTTTCCACTCCACAATTCATACATGTTTTGTGTTGATTGCAATACCCACAGTGTAGCAGGAGTCTTCCCACTTCCTCCCTGTGTTTACCATTTCCCTTCCTGCCTTCTGAGCTTTATCCCTGGGCATATGCTGTCCTTTTAATCTCATATGGTTGATTGTTCTAATGAGTGCATGTTGTTGTTGTTGTTATTTGCCATCAAGTCGGCCCTGACTCCTAGTGACCCCTCCTTGGGTTTGCAAGGCAGTTATCACTACGGAAGTAGGATTGCCCAACCTTCTTTCCGAGGAGCTCCGTGGTATTCTTTCTTACTTATAGGCCTGTCTATTGTTTGGCTGAAAGTGGAGCCATGGGTGAGTTCAGTTCCAGGCCTGAAGGGTGTCTAAGGGCCATAGTCTTGGGGTTCCACCAGAGACTATTTGATGCTATCAGTCCACTGAGACTGGTTCTATCAGAACAGCTAACTTCGTCTTTTTATGATTTTAAGTTTTGTTCCACTCTACCCAGGACCTCTTAATTGTGATCCCTTTCAGAGTGGTTGGCAGTGGTGGATGAGGACCATTTAGTTCTTCTGGAAAAGAACCTGGACCCTGGACCACTCTTCCCACATCCACCCAAACAGTAACCCCTGAGAGAGACTGTTTTCTATTGCACTTTCCTCATTTGATCCTTGACTCAACCTCATGAAGTGGGTGAGACAGGTGTATTATCTGCACTTTACAACTGGAGAAACAAGTCAGAGAGCTTAACCCAAGGATCTGTAGCTATCAAGTGGTGGCGTCTGAACCTGAGCCCGTATCTGCTGCCTCTGAAGCCCATGCTTCTCCCATCACTCCAGGCTTCTAAAGGAAAGGTGA